TTTCCAAAGGGTTGCATCTAATTCTAAAGGGTTGCATCTGTTTTTCAAAGAGTTGCATCTGTTTCTAAAGGGTTGCAACTCATAACCAACAAACATAACTATTTATGTGAACCATTGCAATCTATTGGAGTGGATGTGTCTATTGGTGAACAGACACCATGTGAACCATTGTAACCAATTGGAGTGGATGTGTCCAATGATGAAGAGACACACCCAATCCGAAAAGGCACATTAATTAAAAACTACTTTTTAGTTTTTTTCCAAAGGGTTGCACCCAATCTGAAAAGGCACCTTATTGCCTATAAATACCCCCCTTTGGATCATTTGCAAATCAATTCATTTTCTTCTATCTCCTTCTCTAGACTTGAAGCCAACCCAAGTGGGTTCAAGCCATAAGTTAAGTGGTCCAAACCACTTAGACCCTAATCCAATTTCATCGAGCCATATTAAGATTGGTTCGAACCATTTGGTTCGGATTGCACCCAATTCAGCATTTATATAGTATAGATGTATTTTTGAGTTAGAGAGAGTATTACACAGAGGGGGTTTGCCGTATCCACGAGTTTGTAGTGCTGCTACTGGTGGATGTAGACCGTTGTATTCTGGGAGATAGACGCTGCTGAGTCCGTTAGCATCATAGCGGGGCGAATCTGTCTTAAGGACATAATATCCAATACTAGCCTCGGTCCAGGTTCTTTATTTATTATTATTATTTTGTTACTTTATTTTGAATATTTAATTAAATATAGAGTTGCATATTTAATCAATAATTTCTTAGCATATTGTTAATTATCTCATGACATATTAGTATAAGGTTTGTTATATCTTAAATGTCACATGAAGCATATATTTTACCAACAAAAATACACGAAAATTCACTTTTCCACCAAAGTTGTGCACTTTATATATTACTTTCCTATTATACCATGTTAGTTGTTTCTCTTCTTCTTCACTTAATTATATAAACTTCTTTGTTCAAGGAGAGTTTCTTTCTTCTGTAAATTGCTTTTTTATATAATCATATAAACTTAAACTTGAGAAAGCCATCTCTCTCAATATCAAGGTTTTTAGAGCGCTTTCTTTGCGCCTATTGGGGTGTTTTTAGCCAACCCCAACCTCTCTTTTGGGGACCTTACTAATTTAATTGTTTGTATTTTTTTTTTGATGTGTGCACTCAAAATTAATTATTTTTTTTCCTTTTATTATTGATTTATTTTTTTTCATTTTTATTTTTCGAAATGTCTGAAATAAGTAAGATATTTTTTTTCTTTCTATAATTGATAATGATTAAGAATTATTATATATATACATAACTATTTGCTTATAACAAGTCTAGAACAAGTGAATATAGAGAGAGGAGAAAACAAAAAAATTGTATTATGATATCACATACTATTCTATTCGAGCTGTGCATTCAAAATTAATTAATTTTTTTTCCTTTTATTATTGATTTATTTTTTGTCATTTTTATTTTTCAAAATGTTTGAAATAAGTAAGATATATATATTATTTTTCTATAATTGATAATGGTTAAGAATTATTATATATATACATAACTATTTGCTTATAACAAGTCTAGAACAAGCGAATACAGAGAGAGGAGAAAACAAAAAAATTGTATTATGATATTACATACCATTCTATTCCATATTTCAATTAAGCATTTAAATAATATTCATCTAACATAAATTTATTTATTTATTTTACTATTAACATTATAAGGGTATTTTCGGTAAATATAAGCATTTTCTTTTCCTTTTCATGCCATCCAAAACTAACAAAATAATATTTTTTCATAACTTCTTCAAAAAATTTCCTGCAAACCAAATGCACGATAAAAACTTAATTTTTCTTTCTTTCACTCCACTTTTCATAAAATTTTCTTGTCTAACCAAACATACCATTGAAGGTTGTCAATTTTCCTCAAAACAATTGTAGCATAAAATACAAGAAAATTTTGTTTCTTGCGAAAGTTATACGGTTATATTTTAAATTTCTATTATACTCCATATTTTAATTAAATTCAAAAAGGGAACTAATTTGTTGTCGTATGTAAAATTCTAAACTTATTTGATTTCGTCAAAGTTGTTACAACCCTATTATATAAATTGTAACTGCCAAATATAAAAGTTCGGAATAGTATTATCACCAGCAGCAATAAAAATGACAAAATTTGATGCATGCTCTTATTCAATACAAATTTATTTATTTATTTAATATTTAAAATTATAAGAGTAGTTTGGAAAAGTATAATTATTTATTTTTCATTTTCTGCTATCCAAACTAACAAAATAATTTTTTTCGGCAATTTTGTTAAATTTTTTTCATTCTAACGAAATGCATGATGTAAATTTTATTTTATTTTTCTTTACTTTACTTTCACTTTTCATTATTAATTTACGTATACAAAAAGGACCCTAAGTAAAATTAATATAAAAATCCTAATTCTTTTTGTTTTGAAGGAAATAAATAAAAAGAAAAGAGATTTAAATAAAATAAAAAAGGGAAAGAAAAGAAAATTCTGGACCAACGAGAAGCGAGCAAAACGTGTATGACCGAAACCCATGCACAAAAGGAGTGTTCAAATCCTCTAAAGTGAGTTACCCGGCTGTCCTTGCTGTGCACGACTTAAGGCCTTGTTTGTCTTAGCACAATAAAAAAGGCAAGTAATGTAGCTTAACGATAGCTTGGTTGCCAACTAAAAACCCAAAAAAAAAAAAAAAAGAAAAGACGGAAGAAATATCTGACTTGTTACCAAATTTATACCTGGCAAATTGGCGCCTTTGTCTCCTTCCCTTTTACCCTTTTTGAATCAAAACTCTAATTCCTCTCTCCTTCCCTTCTGGATCCACCAAAAGCATCCCTCCTTCCATTTCCGCTTTCTTCCATTTTTCCTTTTTTAACTCCTTGAATCAAAACCTTAAAGCATCCCTCCTTCCTTCTGAAAAGCATCCCTCCTTCCCTTTTCATTCCATAAAAAATCCTATTTTTATACTTTTTTATTTCCTTTTTTGAATCAAAACAGCACTCTTGTTTTTCTCTTTGATCTATATTGCTACTCTTTTCTTTGCTGTTTCGTCCCATAAAAAACATGCTTGCATTTTTACTTTGCAATTCCTCTTTGAATCAAAACCTGATGGTATTCCTTCTGGTTGCAACTCCTTCTTTGCTCACTCGCTACCTTTACCCTCAAAACAAGGTATTCACGTCGTGCTGTATAACTAATGTCACATATAAAACTATCTGAATTCACTATATTGTTATGTTCTTATTTGAAGTAAAATTTTACCCCCCAAAAAATTAAGAATACGAAAACATACAAAAGACCACAATCACATGTTAAGTTAGAGGGTTCTATGAACATGTTAAACTCAATTGGTCTAACTTGTGACCACATACAAAATACTACATGCTTACCAAAGTACTGAAAAGGCCAATGGTTTTTTTTTTTTTTTTTCAACAACTATGAAGAAATCATACATTTAGTTATTCTCTAAGCGTGAACTATGGAAAAAACCATAGCAAAGTTTGGTATTAATTAACATTTGCTCACTTATTACATTTACCTTCAAAATAAGGTATTCACGTCGCGTTATCTAACTAATGTCACATATAAATATATTTGAATTCTCAATATTGATATATTCTTATTTGAAGTGAAATTTTACCCAAAAAAAAAAAAAAAAAAAAAATTATTAAGAAAGCATAAAAAACCACGATCACATGTTTTTAAATTGTGAGAAACAAGGATATAGAAGATCAATTTATTACTCTTCGAATGAATATAGGAATGACTTTAGAGAGTGAAGTGATCAAATAACAAGGATCTGGTTTTTGCTTTCAGACACATACAAATTGGTCGACGTGTATCTTAATTCGATTAACTGATTTAGCCAAAATCAGCAAACCGATAAATTTGTGTCCACCGAATTCTAGGGATGCAACTCGGACGGATTGGGCGGGTTTGAAGTATAATTTGAGCCCAACCCACTATATGAAATGTTAAACCCAAGCCCAACCTTAACCATATCCTCAACCATAACCACTCAACTCAAGCCCAACCCATCTTTCTACTTTTAAACTCGGGTTTAAATTCCAGTTAAAAATTTCAGATTAATTCGAGTTACTCATATGGCTAATCTTTACACCGAAAATTTAATATGATCTTGAATTAATTTTAGATTAAATTACTCTTAAACAAAAAAAAGTTTAAAGACTTTTTGAAGATTTTTAATAAATTACAAACAAATTTTTAGAAAATTAATTCTCCTAAATATTAACATACAATAAGTTAAGATTTAACAAAAAAAGTTGAAAAGAAAAAAAAGTAATCCTAGTTTAAATGTGATATATAATGTATTTAAAAGTAAAAATATATATGAAAATAATATTAGAATTCGGGTTCGGGTTGCTAGCACTTCAACTCAAACCCAACCCTAATTAAATTTGGGTTGAGATTTTTCACCCCAAGCCTAACCTTAATTGTAAAAATGATTACCTAAGACCATAAAAAATTAGGTTAGGCTCGGGTTGGGTTCGGGTTACTCAACCTAAGTTGCACCCCTACCGAATTCTACGACACTTCAATTTTTGAATACATATTTAAAGCACGGATTTTATTTCATTTCCCATTTCCCATTTCCCATCTCTCCGCGACCAAGGCGACAAGGTTCGAAACCCTTGCTTGAATGAATGATGAAGGAGGCTTCCTTGGTTATTTGTTTTTTTTTTTTTTGAGGAAGTAAATCTGACGTGGAATTCAAAATTTTTTATAATTTTTCTTTTCAGTAATAAGTTACCACTATCACTTAACGGGGAGAAAGAAGTTAACTGAAGGAAAAAAAATTATTTTTATTACGTTTATATCATTATAATGGGAATTATCAATAGACGTGGCCAAATATAAAGCCTTATATTGTGCACCGCCAGCAAGGATTGAGTAACCACAAAAAGAAAGTTTAACCAAACCGTTTACACTCTCCGTCCAATCCGACGGCTGAAAGGAAAGGGGGCGGAAAGTTCTAGAACCTAACAAAAAAAACCTATATAAGAAGACTTGAGCTGCTTCTACAATCAATATTGATTCCTCAACGATCTGAAAACCCTAATTTGCTACTCTTTCTTAGTTCTTTCTCGATTCCAATCAAATGGCTGGTAAAGGAGAAGGTCCGGCTATCGGAATCGATCTGGGGACGACCTACTCCTGCGTCGGGGTGTGGCAACACGACCGCGTCGAGATCATTGCCAACGACCAAGGTAATAGAACAACGCCGTCCTACGTCGCCTTCACCGACACAGAGCGCCTCATCGGCGATGCGGCCAAGAACCAGGTCGCCATGAACCCTATCAACACAGTCTTCGGTAAGATATCTATATAATCCCCCTGTACATATATTGTGTGTGTTCCTATTTACTTTTCATTTTTATATGTACCTTTAACCTATCGATTATCGATTAGCTTCAATTTAGCTTTGATTTCTGTGGCTGATGTTGTATGCTACTCTTTTTCATATGGGTTTAGGGTTTGGCTTACGGAATTTAATAATTTTTTTTAATTGTATCAGTATTAAAGTTACATATTTGTTTTGATGTATGTAAATAATGAATTTATGATTTCTTTAGCCTCTCTGATTTTTATATCTCAACTGAATGCATTTTTTTTTTTTTTTTTTTTTTTTTTTTTTTTTTTTTTTTGTATTTTGATTTTTTTGAGACAATTTACATATATATTGGCTCTAGGCAATATTCTTTTAAATTTGTAGAAATATGGGTATAATGTAGCCGTCACAGTCTTTGCTTTTGCTTTAATACTCTTACGACTACTTAATTTTTGATCTGTTTTAGAAGTTTATTTTTTCTTCTTTGTTTTAGAAGTTATTCATTTATGCCATAGTCGTTTTAGCAAACATATCATTAACTTGACATTGGTGGGTTTGATGGGTTTTAGGTATTCGAATGAAAATTAATATACCAGTACAAATATAAATTTTGATTCCAAATCAGTGGAAATCAAAATAATTGATGATGGGGATTTTTAACTCCTTATTGCTTAAGATAATTGTTTTATTCTTTTAGTACTCCCCTGGTTGCTAAAGTTGTGTTTTTCTGAATCCCAGATGCAAAGCGATTGATTGGTAGGAGGTTCACTGATGCATCAGTTCAGGGTGATATGAAGCATTGGCCATTCAAGGTAGTTGGTGGTCCCGGTGATAAGCCAATGATTGGGGTAAACTACAAGGGTGAGGAGAAGCAGTTTGCTGCGGAAGAAATATCATCCATGGTTCTCACTAAGATGCGTGAGATTGCAGAGGCCTATCTCGGCTCCACGATTAAGAATGCAGTTGTCACCGTCCCTGCTTATTTCAATGATTCTCAGCGTCAGGCCACCAAGGATGCTGGAGTCATTGCCGGCCTCAATGTCATGCGTATCATCAATGAGCCAACCGCTGCTGCCATTGCATATGGTCTTGACAAGAAAGCTACAAGTGTCGGGGAGAAGAATGTGCTTATCTTTGACCTCGGTGGTGGTACTTTCGATGTATCTCTTCTCACCATTGAGGAGGGTATCTTTGAAGTGAAGGCCACTGCTGGTGACACTCACCTTGGAGGAGAAGACTTTGATAACCGTATGGTGAACCATTTTTCTCAGGAATTCAAGAGAAAGCACAAGAAAGACATCAGTGGAAGCCCCAGAGCCCTTAGGAGGTTGAGAACTGCTTGTGAGAGGGCAAAGAGGACTCTTTCATCAACTGCTCAGACAACCATTGAGATTGATTCATTGTTTGAGGGAGTTGATTTCTACACAACCATCACTCGTGCCAGATTTGAGGAGCTAAACATGGATCTCTTCAGAAAATGTATGGACCCTGTTGAAAAGTGTCTGAGGGATGCCAAGATGGACAAGAGCACTGTCCACGAAGTAGTCCTTGTCGGTGGCTCTACTAGAATTCCAAAGGTTCAGCAGCTATTGCAGGACTTCTTCAACGGGAAGGAGCTGTGTAAGAGCATAAACCCAGATGAGGCCGTTGCTTATGGTGCCGCTGTGCAAGCTGCAATCTTGAGTGGTGAAGGCAATGAGAAGGTACAGGACCTGTTGCTGTTGGATGTCACCCCTTTGTCCCAAGGTTTGGAAACTGCTGGAGGAGTCATGACTGTTTTGATTCCAAGAAACACTACAATTCCTACCAAGAAGGAGCAGGTGTTCTCTACCTACTCTGATAACCAGCCCGGTGTGCTGATCCAAGTGTATGAGGGAGAGAGAGCAAGAACAAGAGACAACAACTTATTGGGCAAATTCGAGCTCTCTGGCATTCCTCCTGCCCCTAGAGGTGTTCCGCAAATCACCGTCTGCTTTGACATTGATGCCAATGGTATCTTGAATGTCTCTGCTGAGGACAAAACCACTGGTCAAAAGAACAAGATCACTATCACCAATGACAAGGGGAGGTTGTCCAAGGAAGATATTGAGAAGATGGTTCAGGAGGCTGAGAAGTACAAGTCTGAAGATGAGGAGCACAAGAAAAAGGTGGAGGCCAAGAACGCTTTGGAGAATTACGCCTATAACATGAGGAACACTGTGAAGGATGAAAAGATCAGTTCTAATCTCTCACCGGAAGACAAGAAGAAAATTGAGGATGCTATTGATGAGGCCATTCAATGGTTGGAAGGAAACCAGCTTGGAGAGGCAGATGAGTTTGAGGACAAGATGAAGGAGATTGAGAGCATCTGCAACCCCATCATTGCCAAGATGTACCAGGCTGGTGGTGGACCCGACATGGCTGGTGGCATGGCTGAAGATGGACCCTCGGCCGGTGGAAGTGGCGCAGGCCCTAAGATTGAGGAGGTTGACTAAGTTGTTAGTATTTTTTTTTAACTCCTATTAGGAGATTATACTTTATATTTTTTGTTGTTTGATGTTTTGGGTAGCGGTTGTTTTGAGGGATTTTACTGGTGGGAAGTCTATTATTTTCTGGTTGACGATCTATTTTAATGGAGACAAAGTTTTTCTTTGATAATATTTTCTTTCGTTTTTATATTTGTCTTTTTGTCCAATAACTTATTTGGAAGAGCTCTAAACAAGCAATGGTTTGTTCAGTTTGTAACCAATTACAAGCAAGGGGCTTTAATTCATAGAAAATTTGATTACATATGTAATCAATCATTTTTACAATTTCAATAAAATAAAGTAATAATCTTTAAAATAAACAAGTCCAAGTGACAACAAAACTACAAGTCCAATTAACAACAATATTGGCCTTTTAGGGATGGTTCTGAAATTAAATTTAGTTGCCAAGGTCCTAAAATTAAATTTAGTTCTAAAAGTCCTGACATCTTTAGTTTAAGCGCAGTAAACTAGGGCCCCACAAGAGTTTGCAATGGTACCAGAAAAGGTTAGAAAGTCCCATAAAAGTTGTAGATGTCTCAAATAGAAAGGAGATTTTTGGATCTGGTTACGCGGGTAAAAATGGATTAAACTCGGTTATTTATTAAAATTAAAATTTATATAAAATAAATATTAAGTTTATCTTTTTTTTATAGTGAATCCGAGTAGTCAGCTTAAATGGCTTAATGTTTTATACAAGCCACAACGAAAATGTTTGGGATGTCCATTGGAAGGCTCCCAAACACTTTCATTTAATCTAATTACACGGTGAGAGTATTAAAATTTTGGTTTGATTTTCTATTTGAGATAGGAAGTTTGCACGTGCCAAGTATTATACTAAATGATGAAAACTGTGGATTGATTTTTATTTTCTACTGACATTTTTAGAGAAAAATCTTATATTTTTATTATTTTTGAATACAGGATAAAGAGTTGAAAGCTAAGTCACACAATTCTCCTTAATGTTTGTCGCTCTTGCGTTTCGAAGCCTTTTTATTAGATTTTTAAAAGCATACACACTATACACACACACACGAGTGAATTTAGGATGTTGTTCATATCCTAATCATGTTTGAATCCATTGAAGATTACATATACAACGATCAGAGAAAGTAGATCTTATTTTTTCTACATCAAATTTATTATATTCAAATAAGAAGAATTTCAGATCACACTTTAAAGGGATCAAAGAGCTTACGGAGTGTCGTTGATCTACCAGCAATCGATCTACAAGGTTCGATGCATAAGTCTGAAATCGAGAGCTGTTGGACGGGAAGTCGCAAAGTCTAGGACGTTTAATGGATTGAGTCTTGGTAGAACAAAGGGGTTTGAGTTTGAGTCAAAATTCGGTATACTTTGCTTGATACATAATTGATCTTTTTACGACTGGACAGCGCACAAGACCTCCAGATTTTTCAATTGGTTTCTTCAATAAATCCGTTATCACTCTAAACTTTACTTGCTTTTAATTTGCATACGATTATTTAATTAACCGGTAAATTTAGTAGAGTAGATTGTACAGAGAAACATATGATTAAATCATTTCTCAATAAAAACTCAAACTTTCCACAAACTATTCTGCTGCACAACTCACAGTCTATATGTTTGACACGCTAAAGAATGAAACTTTTTACTATTTTTAATTACTAATACTATTTGGTGCATGGAATGACAGAGTACTAGTAAAATATATATAATTTGAAATTATACAAAATTTGTATAATCACAAATTTAATAAATTTTTTAAAATAAAAATTGATATTTGCTACGAATATAATTGTAGTAATTACTCATTTGCTACGAAAATCAATTTAGTTGCGAAGAAAATACTATTATTTGCTACGAAATTTTTATGTGGAGAATGATATAATTTGTAACAAATAATGGTATCACTGACGAAAATAATTCGTAGCAACTAATTATATAAGTAACGAAAATATTTTGGTTTTTTTTTTTTTTTTTTTTTTTCGTTAAAAGGTAAGATAAATATTTTGTAATAAATTAATATATTAGTGACAGAAATAATTTGTAGTAAATAAGCATATTAGTGACAGAATCATTTTGTAGTAAATTAATGTATTTGTGACAAATAATTTGTACAGACCGAAATAATTCGTAACAAATAAGTGTATCATTGATGAAAAATATTTCGTAGTAAATAAATGGTTATCCAGGGAAAATATATTTTCATAGCATCATATATACTATCCTGATGCTAGATATTGCTACGACCCATGCCATGAAATACTTTCGTTACAAATGACCTTTTGCTACGAAATTAGTATATTTTGCTACGAAAATTTTCGAAGGTAAAAAGCTTGTTTTGTTGTAGTGACAATTGTGAGGCTTTAGATATTGCACCCACGACCTAAGCCCATCAGGAGACGAACATGATTTTCTTCATCTTCGGCCTGAACTCGTGGAGAGATTAATGATCTTATTCTAGTCGCAGTTGAACTTCTTCAAGATGGAGTCGTAGAGTCACGTGAGCTCCTTCGGTGGTGTCGCCTCTCCTGCTGTCCAACTCGATCTTCTCCAGTTTGGTGACGTTCGACGGCTTGCCCAGATTAAAAGGTCTAATCAACATGCAATCATTAGTGTCATACCCCCAGATTTTCGAATGCGGGTTGGCCAGGCCCACGCCCGAATACCCGAGGATATCAAAACAAATTGATAATAAACGAATACAGAGTACAAAAGAATAAAGAAGAATAAATAAAATGCTGACAAGAAACTAAAATGATAATCTAATAATAAACCTTAGAATATATTTCCATTAATTAATAAACTCTTCTGATACAACTGGTCTTCCAAAATACAACTCGGGAATCCATACTGTGTGGACTCCTAGAAAATTCAAACTAAACAAATGACAGCAATAATTGTTTAAATCAGGAAACTGAATCATAAAGGAACTCCTATGTAGCATCGGAAGAATGAAGTAGACTGATCCCCGCTCAGCACGAATAACCTCTACTCCTGACGAACACCTGAAAAATAATGGTGGGTAAGGCCCACAAACAAGTTCTACTCTACTACAGTCCAAGCGGAGATCCGATACACATATACATCCTAGTCAATTCAACAGTAACTAGTAGTTCGTATATATATACACACTAAAGGAACCTCACTAGACTATAGGGTTGTCTCAACCTGAATAATAGGCAACATGTAAAACGCACATATAGTGGGCATGAATACCTAGACCTACCAGGGTACACAACTACACTATATCTAGCTACACATCCCTGGCGATATACGCACCCTAACCACTGATCCTGAGACTCAAGCTCATATCATGGCACCGTACTTATATATAAAAAATCTAGTAACCATCCTATCCAGTATAAATTAATCCTCCATAAGTCATTCAACTTGTTCAGCTGACCTGACTTAAATATAAGTAGGACTTAACATTTTAGTTAATCCATTCCCTTACATAATAAATTAATCCTCCATAAGTCATTCAACTTGTTCAGCTGACTTGACTTGAATATAAGTAGGACTTAACATTTTAGTTAATTCATTCCCTTATATAAAATAGGTAGGACTTAACTGATAAGTTAATCCATCCCTAAAATGCCACCGTCCCATACCGGTGCATTAAATCACACAATTCAACAATTGATGTAACGATTAAGGAAATACATCAAACAATCCAAAAATAACTATGATAATATGATATTAAGTTATTACAAAATAGGAATGACTTATTATTTATTTAAGTTTCCTATATCATATGTCCTACACAAACTGAATCTTATACATGATGATATTTTATTATACCGTCAAATAAGCATTCTCCATATCCAATTCATCCTACACATTTAATCTTAATTGCTAAAACATTTAAAAGATTAAATCCATTTGTTTATTTAAAATATTCAAATAGCAAGTATCATTATGATTGAGTCTATTTAAATTTATTTAAACCCAAACCTAGTTCCTATTTAATGTTCAGGAATCCTAGGCATGTTTCTAAGTTCTATCATTCCACAGATATGAAAAATACATAATGTAAACATATAAAAATTCACACCGAAAATCAAATCAAAATCACGCATTCATCAATTCATAATACAAGAACAGATATGAACCAATTTCATAAAACCTATGTTCTAATCCAATTAAACATGCATAATTATTTAATTTTATGTGTTTAATAAATCCTGAAATTTCCTAGGCATGTATAGAAACACGAATCAAAGGGAAAGAGATAGAATAAGAACTTGCCTTAAACTTTCGGATCGAAAGTTAAACTTCTTCTTCCTTGATCTTCTCTCTACAGGTTTTTTTCCTCCTTCCCTCTCTAACTCTCTCCCTCTAGAATATATCACGTGAATATTTCTAACCCTCTTTTACAACCTATAGCTATATATTTATAGGCTAAATAAAATAACCTTAACCCTTTTTCCAATCCAAGTCAACTTAAAAAAATATATATATTAAAATATTAAAAAGGTAAGTAAAATATGTTACGTATATAATTTATGTATATGTTTATTAAATAAATAAATTATACACATTCCATTATTTATTAATGAATTATCCAATAATACTTAAGTTACCACAATATTATAAAGTAACTTAAAACATAACACGTATCAAATCTATGTATATTTTTATTATTTAAATATAAAACATATACATCAGATTAAATATTACTACCCAAGTTACCATATAAGTAATTAATAAATTACTTTCCCTTTTATATATATATTAAAAAGGTAAGTAAAATATGTTACGTATATAATTTATGTATATGTTTATTAAATAAATAAATTATACACATTCTATTATTTATTAATGGATTATCCAATAATACTTAAATTACCATAATATTATAAAGTAAGTTAAAACATAACACGTCTCAAATCTATGCATATTTTTATTATTTAAATATAAAACATATACATCAGATTAAATATTACTACCCAAGTTACCATAAAAGTACTTAATAAATTACTTTTCTTTCTATATATGTATATAATATATATCTATATATATACATACACAACTATTCATGAGTAATAATCCATACACATCCAACCTCCTATCCAAGTAGTCCATGGGACCCAATTGGTTGGCCCATTACTACTCACCATAACCATAAAAGAAAAATACAATAAAAAAATAAAAGAAAAGAAAACATTTAATTTATAATTAATCAAAATACCATTTAAGCACATAACCTAATTAAACAATTAACACATAGACAAATACAAATAATATATAGACATATAATCAAATAATCAAGTAATACATAATTTAATTAAACACATAAGCAATTAGTCAAATAATCAATTAAATAATTAAAAATACAATTAAAACAAATAAATAAATACCGAAACTATCCTTTTAAAATTAAGGGTATTACAACTATCTGAGGAGATGGGTTTAAATTTTGAAGATGAAAAAGAGAAAGGAGATGGTGCTAGGTGGTGATGGTCACTAGTTGAAGCCCACCCAATTATTTTTTATTTTTTATTTTATTTTTCTTCACCATACCTAAAAAAAATAAATTATTACTACTATTAGCCTACCCAAAGAAATATTAGCCCACCCCATGAACAATTCCTGGATTCGCCCTTGGTGGTGGTGCTGATGGTGCTTGGTGGTGATTGTGGTGGTGACAGTGCTACTTGGTGGCGGTGGCGGCTGCGGTGATGGTGACAGTGGTGCTTAGCGGTGGTGGTGATGGGTTTCAATTGTAGCACCTTTAGCTAAAAGTTACCCTTAAATTCACTTTTTCTTTTGAGTTTGTTTAATCTTGTATAAGTGGGTATAAATTATATATATAGGGTAAAGTGAGAAAAATGCCTTAATGTTTATATTTTGAACAAACAACACTATCCTTTATATTGTGTATATAAGTCGTTAAGATTGAAAAAATGAACAAAGAAAGATTTAAGGTCACTGTGTCTTTAAAAATTTAATCATATGCATTACACATGACATCTTTAAAATATAAAATTTTGAAAAGACCCTTTCACTTTCGATAATGTCCTTACACACACACACACTTTCACTTTCATTTATAATAACATTTATAAATGATTGATTTCCTTCAAGGGTTGAACGCCATCCAAAGTTCATTAAAGGTTGAATTTGGAACTTCAAACAAACACTTATAATCTTTAACCACTAAAAGAAATCAACTTAATTCCTCTAAAACTATGTGTCAAGTTGGTCCATACCAAGAACCCACAACTACAAATACGATTAAAACCCACAACTTTACTTGATTAAATAAAGTGGAATTTGGGTTACGTTAGCGAACCTCAAGCCACCGTCAAGAACTTTAGGCCATGTTTGGTGTGAGTGAATGTAATCAAATGAAGGTGGAATGGAATACTTTTGTTTCTATTCTCTTGTTTGGCGTGTTACATTAAAAATGGCCATTCCAAGGCATTCCCGGGGAATGCCCATTTCTCTTCTTGAGGCGTGGAATGACCATTCCATTCCCACCAAGAATTAATAAAGTAATTTAAAGACAAAAAAAATCATTTGCCTTGTGTTCACACAGACCTGTGCGTCCCTTCTCTCACCATCTCTCTCTTCACGCATACACACACTATATAAATATAATATATATAATATGTATTTATATGTAGTTTGTTCCCTCTCTTCGATTTTCACACAGAAGGATGAGACAAAAATAGTGTAATTGAACTGCTATGGGTTTATGCAACTTTCTTAGTCTTTGTCTAGCAATAATTATTTAATTATTTATTATTTTTATTATTTTCTGGTCTCTAATGTTATGATAATTATGGTCTTCATCTATTGGAGAAAAATGAAATGTCATGTGTATGTTGTTTTAGGAATCCAATTCCATCACTGGAGAAATTTAGCAATCTCCCTGTCCTTTTGGAACGAGTTTATGGCATTGGGTCATTACTTTTTTGGGGGAAATAGACAATTTCATAGGAAAATTTCTAAAACAACATACACATGACATGAATAATCCAGTGATGAAGTGGACTGAAACGGCGGCGACTATGAATAATTTAGACCAGTTTGTTAAAAGTCGTCAGAGAATGTCGCCGGAGAAGATGATCGGGAAATTATCTCTTTCCCCTTTATTTTTTCAGTCGTCAGAGAACCCTCTGTTTCTTTTTTTCTCGTCTATTTTCTTTCTCTTTCCCTATTATTTTTTTAGTCGTCCGAGAGCTCTAGGTTTCTTTTTTCTCGTCTATTTTCTTTTTCTATCTCGTCTATTTTCTCTCTCTATTATCTCTTTCCCTTTTATTTTTGCAGATTAATTTTTTTAGTTAATTTTTTTTACTAATAATAAAATGTAATTTAAAGAAACAATATAAATTCATTCCACCATCCTAACTTTCTTACCAAATACATTCCATGTTTGCAACCAAATGGTAGAATAAGAATCATCATTCTCATTCCCTTCTTTTCTCATTCCATTCCTACCTCTATTTCAATTCATTCCACCACACCAAACATGCCCTTATAGTGAGGGTTATGGGGAAAAGGGCATTCTCTTTATTTACCTCTTCTTTTATTAATAATTTTAATTTTAATTTAATTTAATTTAATTTAATTTAATTTAATTTTTATTTGTAATATCATTAATATGTACATTTTTTTTTTCCCTGCATCAATGTACAGGCAAAAAGTATATGAATGATTCAATGCAGTGTTACGATAAAGTGACAGAGAATAACGAGAGAACCTCATGGTCTTAGTGACGGATAGAATACGATGCCATGCTTTGCTTCTACAGTAATCCTTATCAAAAGAATCCATATAAGGTTGAGACTGGCACTTCAATTATTCCTCAACAATCTAGACCCTAAATCAGCTACATTTTCTCTCTCTAGTACAGGCAAAAAGTATATGAATGATTCAATGAACAGTTATGATAAAGCGACAGAGAGAACCTCATGGTGTTAGTGACAGATAGAATACGATGCCATGCTTTGCTTCTAGCTACAAATTAATAATCCTTATCAGTTATCAAAAGAATCCATATAAGATTGAAACTGGCACTTCAATTCTTCCTCAACAATCTAGACCCTAATCATCTACACTCTTTCTCTAGTTTTTGCTGGATTCCGCTGGCCGGAAAAGGGATGGGTCGGGCAATCGGTATCGATTTGGGGACGACGTACTCGTGCGTCAGAGTGTTTTGCCCATTCCGTGAACGCGTTGAGATAATTGTCAATGATCAAGGTAACACCACGACACCGTCCTACGTCGCCTTTAACGACACCGAACGCCTCATCGGCGATGCCGCCAAGTATCAAGTCCTCAGCAACCCTATCAACACCATCTTTGGTACAAATACAAATATATTTTGTGTTATATTATTAAGGACGATTTAAAAGTAGATTATGTAATAAAGGTTTAGTCTTTAATATATTTTAATTTATCAATGTTAACACTAAATATTTGTTTTCATTTATAGTAAATAATTAATTTTTGATTTAACTTCTGAGATTTTGATTTTACCTTTCTACCGATGGATATATAATAAATTATTATTATTATTTTTTTCCTATATACATAAAAATTTAGAGCAGTCCGACACCTAACGACTATCATACGTGGCTGGCTTTTTTTTTTTTTTCGTTGAACCCGCCCCCTCCCCTCCCTCTCTCTCTAACAATCGGCGAGGCTAGCATTCCGCCACCAACTCTACCTTTAGGCCAAGGAGATCTGATTCCGCCGTCGTCGCCGACCAGTCATTCACCGTCACCGTCGCACTCCCCAACGAGACCCTCTCCTCCGCCGCCGACCAGTCATTCACCTACAAAAGGGTCCAAGCCAACATCGTTACATCGTCGCCTACCAACTCTCCACCCAAATCGAAAACATTGTCGTCGGCGACGAGGTCTTCGTCAACCTCACCGTTCTCAACCTCTCCGCTAACCGCCTCTCTGGCGACATTCCCTATCAGCTCGCCTTCTGCGCTGTGAGGTCGTCGGCAATTCTCTCTTATCTTCCCGTCAACCTGCCGGGATTTCCGGATTCGGCCGTGGCTCTGCCTCGCTGCCCAACTCGGTCTCCAACAAACCCATCAACACTCTGTCTACGAAGTTCATGAAATTGAATCTGTAACCACGGTGGTCAGCACTAAAGAAAGAAGGAGGAAATCACTAACAATTGAATCTGTAACCACGGTGATTGATTCAGCAAAGCAACACCGGCTCTGTCTCAGGGAAGTACGGCACTGGTGGAGACCATCCGTCGGTGAATCCGGTGATCGAGGAGAGTCTGGCCGGACGGTGAATCCGGTGATCAAGGAGAGTGTGGCCAGACGGTGAATCCCGTGACGGTACTTGTGGAGACCATCCGTCGATTCTCTAGGATTGAAAGAGATAGACGAGAGAGTAAAGCTGAGAAGAAGAAAGGGGAAGGGGATGGTGCGCCAGTTGGGCCAATCTAATATTGACACATACTGTATTTTTTTCCGGGTGAATAGTTGTCGTCAAAATTAGCATCTTCCAAAAATTTATATTCGCTGTAGGGAACATTTGCATAAATTTAGTGAAGTTCGGTTACGAATTGGATTGATTGGCTCAAAAATGGTAGGAATATTTGTATAGAATTATGTTGGCTTAGCATTAATACTCTAATATTTAATTTTTTTTAGACGTTCAAGCATACACAGACACTCTTACAAACATAATTTATAAATTTTCGATCTTTGAAAGGAGAGATCATACCAAATAAACTAATTCACATTAGTAATACCTACTTCATTTTGGTCTGTTCTACACTAGTTTTTTTTTTCAAAAATTGATATAATAATGTAAAAAACTAGTGTGATATATTTTATAGATCATAGATGACACATGAATATTGATGATGGGAGATAGATAATAGTTGGACTTTTTATTGCTTTAATCTGTTTTCTGGTTCCTAAAGTCTTGTGTTTTTCTGAATTCCAGATGCTAAACGATTGATTGGTAGGAAGTTCAGTGATGCATCAGTTCAGGGTGATATGGAGCACTGGCCATTCAAGGTCATTGCTGGTCCCAGTGATAAGCCAATGATTGTGGTGAACTACAAGGGCGAGGAGAAACAGTTCGTTGCTGAAGAGATCTCATCCATGGTTCTCACTAAGATGCGTGATATTGCTGAGGCCTATCTCGGCTCCACGGTTAAGAATGCAGTTGTCACTGTCCCTGCTTATTTCAATGACTCTCAGCGTCAGGCCACTAAGGATGCCGGAGTCATTGCTGGCCTCAATGTCATTCGTATCATCAATGAGCCCACTGCTGCTGCAATTGCTTACGGTTTTGACAGGAGAGCTGCAAGTGTGGGCGAGAAGAATGTGCTTATCTTTGACCTTGGCGGAGGCACTTTTGATGTTTCTCTTGTCACCATTAAGGCGACCGGGGTCATTGAAGTGAAGGCGACTTCTGGTGACACTCACCTTGGAGGAGCAGACTTTGATTACCGCATGGTGAACCATTTTGTTCAGGAATTCAAGAGAAAACACTGCAAAGACATCAGTGGATGCCCTAGAGCTATTACGAGGTTGAGAGCTGCTTGTGAGAGGGCAAAGAGGACTCTTTCATCAGCTATCTGGACAACCATCGAGATTGATTCATTGTATGAGGGAACTGATTTCTACCCAAGCATTACTCGTGCCAAATTTGAGGACCTAAACATGGATTTCTTTAAGAAGTGTGTGGAGAGTGTTGAAAAGTGTTTGAGGGATGCCAAGATGGATAAGAGTAGTGTCCACGACGTAGTCCTTGTCGGTGGCTCTACTAGAATTCCAAAGGTTCAGCATCTATTGCAGGACTTCTTCAACGGGAAGGAGCTGTGTAAGAGCATTCACCCAGATGAGGCTGTTGCTTATGGTGCGGCTGTGCAAGCTGCAATCTTGAGTGGTGAGTACCAGGAGCTGTCGCTGTTGGATGTAACCCCTCTGTCCCTTGGCGTGGAAGTTGTTGGAGGTGTCATGTCTTTTGTGGTTCCAAGAAACACTACAATTCCTACCAAGAAGGAGAAGGTGTTCTCTACCGACTATGATAACCAGCCCAATGTGCTGATCCAAGTGTACGAGGGTGAGAGAACAAGAACAAGCGACAACAACTTGTTGGGCAAATTCAGGCTCTCTGGCATTCCTCCTGCCCCTAGACAAGTTCCGCAAATCAATGTCTGTTTTGACATTGATGCCAATGGTATCTTGAATGTCTCGGCTGAGAACAAGAGCACTGGTCAAAAGAACAAGATCACTATCACTAATGAAGAGAACAGGTTGTCCAAGAAAGAGATTCAGAAGATGCTTCAGGAAGCTGACAAGTACAAGTCTGAAGATGAGGACTACAAGAAAAGGGCTGAGGTCAAGAATAGTTTGGAGAATTGCGCGTATAAGATGAGGAAAGCTGGTAATCTCTCACAGGCAGACGTGGTGGAGATCGAGGATTCTATTGATGAGGCCATAAAGTGGATGGACAGGAAGGAACTTGAGAGCATGTGCAACCTCACCATTTCCATGGCTGAACATGGACGCTCAGCCGGTGGAAGTGGCGCAGGCCCCAACAATATTTGTTCTTTCCATAGAGGAAAAGAAGAAAAGAAAAGAAGAAAAGAAAAGAAGAAAAAATGGCAGTATGAGCCAAATGAAGAGGAAATGATATAAATGAAAGACTAACCTAACCTGCAGAGGTAATGCTTGTGGAACTCACCACTATAGTCAACATGTATCTGGTGGGTGAACGCGTTCTTGGTTGAACCGGCACAAGCTTGAAATCAACTATATATGTGGAAATGATAAGAGAAATTAAGTATTTATTAAAATATCAAAATTTAGCGTGCATTATGTTGGTAGGAGGATGTAGTGGCTTGCCTGATTCTGTGACTTAAACTCTAGTGGCAGTGCAGTAGTGGCATTGAGAAGCTGCAAGGAGTATTAGTGTTAGGAGGAGAAGATCCAAAACTTGTATTCTCTTCATTTTAGGCACGAGCTTGTGCAGGGTGGTAAATAAATACACAATTTAAGCTATGAAGGATTGTCCAAAGCATGAAGAAACCATTTATAACTCTGATTGTGTTTAGTGAATCATGGCTTGGTTTGAAAATTTGGATGTCGTGTTAAGGGTGGTGGGGGCATCCAAGGCCCTACATATTTCGAATTTCGCAAAATGATAAGGCTATAAAGTGTTGGTTGTTGAGATTTTATCTGTTATGATACAGCTGCAGGATTGAATTATTTACTCCTGATTTAGGGCTAATTGGTAGGTAATTAATAACCTATTTTAGCTAGGTCCTATTCTATAAATTGGATGTAAAACCATGAATGAATCGATCGAATATATAATTTTTAATTCTCGTATTCGTTCCTTGAATTTCAAGATGGTATCATAACCATGGTTTGAACCGTACCTTGAATCTTTTTGAATTTATTTGTTGAAATTCATTGAACCCATACATGATCGGTTGAGAATTCGATCTATAATAAATCAACCTTCGCAATAGCACGAATCATTGTAAAATAGGGCTATTGGTCGGGTAAGTCGAACCACTGGGATTGCGCTAATCTATGGCAACCTAAGTGTCTAGAGTCTTTTTAGAATGATACGGGGTGTTCATAGAGGATTTGTTGGTTGTCACTTAAGCTATGAAATTAAGATGCATAAAATAAAAGCTTGCAAGAATTTAAAGGAGATGAAATACAAGTAAAGAGGACTAGGGAAATGAATCCGCCTCCATCCCTATGCACATGCTAGATTAGAGCTAAATTGGGGGAAAAATAATATATGATGGTCAATAAATATATAGTAACACATAGTGGCCATATAATCAACAAGATGTACATTAAATCTTAAGCAAGCATGATCCATCAAAGGTGAACATGTTTAGACTACCTAACTAAGGTGTAGCTTAACCACATTTACTTGAATGAAAGATTATCAAGTCCTAGATAAAATGATGAAGCACATGAAGGTAAGAAATAAGCATAAACCATCAAAGGCATCGCCTAAGCAATGATCTATCAAAGTACTTATCAACATGCCATTAAACCATTTCATAACCTTGTCTCCATTCTCACCATGAAAACTCAAGCAATATGATTAATATAAGACATTATCTAAAATAAGATAATCAACTTAAAGAAATCATCTATACAAATATCAACATTCATTACAACAAATGAAGTGCTCTTGGTTATGAAAAGACCATAGAAAATACATTGTAATCCCCAAAGTAGAGCTATACTAGATCATGCTTACAAGGGAGGGGCTTCATCACCTCCCTAGAGGAGGAATTAGTTACCCATGGAAGCCCTAGAAGAAGGAAGAAGCTTAGAAGACCCCTCCATTTTTAAGCTTTCTATTCTTGGCCACAAGAACTCTCTCTTCTCCTCTTCCTTTCTCTCTCTCAAAATCTTGCCAAGATGAGATATGATATGTTATGTGTGGTTCCCCCCACCTTGTAGACATCTTCTCCACCAAACCCTACTAAACAAGGCCCTTTTTTTCTTACCAAAAGACATCTCCAACCATTTCATAAAGATGGAAATCAGAATTGAGGGAATCAAGGTGCAAGTGGGCTAAAATGATGGTTTCCGGAGAGCATTCTGCCCAATTTTCGAGCGCTCGAAATAAGCCCTTCGAGTGCTTGAAGTTTCATCAGCTTGCACTCTTCTACTTGATCAGCTTTGCACTACTTTGGTAAAACAGCCATAACTTTCTGCTCTGAACTCCAAATGAAGAACTGTTTGAAGATTTGGAAAGCTAATTTAAAGATCTAAGTATGTCATGTTTTAATAGAAGTCCAATTCTTAAGTTTGGTAGGCCTAAAATGAAGAGCAAAGTCAAACTTCACTGTTGCCAGGCTGTATAGCGCACCTTTGGTAAAAATGACATAACTCTTTGCTCCGAACTCCAAATGAGGTAAACTTTATGTCTATGGAAATCTGACTCATAGCCCTTCATATTTCATGTTTTACTAAAGACCAAATTCGCACATAAAAAGGGTCAAAATTGGAGGCCAAAGTCTGATGGAAAATGAACCGGCGCCCGCACTGTTACAGCCTTGAACCAATTTGCTACTTGCAACCTGAAATGATTTGGCTCGGCCCGAAGACGCGGTAATTCTTCCTAGAACTTGTTGCATAGAGCGTCATGAGTCCCGTGGATCATTAATCTTGGCCAAAATGAAGGTCCCTGGCAACGGTGTGCTTTGATTCTTTAAGAGCATCTCTTTTAACTCTCTTTGGGGAAGCAACCTGAAAATAAACAAAAGCATGCAAAATGATAAAATAATGGATTTAACTAATGCAAATAAGGGCGCTTGAATATGCAATATTCGGCGCTTATCACACCCCCAAACTTACATTTTGCTAGTCCCTTAGCAAAACCAAAATGAAAAACCCAATGAAATGTCAACAATGGGAATGCTACCACAAAAATATCAACCATGGCAAAATGAAATATATACATAGCTCAAATATAACTCGAAACAAACAAAGGACCGGAGATGGGGTCATTAAGTAAACTACTATGCATATATGAAGTATTGATACAAAAAATGGCTAAACACATTTCAACATACATGCATCAGCATCCAAGTCTATATAAATAACTCAATTGTCATCTCTTAAATGGAAATCAACTCTAACTTCAGTGAAAGTGGAGTGGATTCTCAACATGCGGCTTTTACTTTCTTTTCCAATTCCAAGACACAAGTCTTCAAATCCTTGAATTCCCTTTTAAATGAAGTCCCTAAGGCATGAATTTATTTACTAAACAACTTTTGTTGCTTGCTGACAAATTATTATAACTCAAAAATGATACATAAAATGGTTGTGCAATGCTGAAATCCTTTAAGCTTTCTAACCAACCCATGTAGCAAGCGTTAGGCCAACAACTCCCAAACCAGATGGCTTTAGGGTGCTGAGTGTAGAGACACTCCTAGGGCTTAATAGTTCGAATTGGCAAGGCTACGAATTCCAACGGACTATGTTTATTACAATATATATATATATATATATATATATATATATATATATATATTTGAATGACCGTGCAATGTCTAAGTCTTTTAAGCTTTCTAACCAACCCATGTAGCAATCGTTAGGCCAACAACTCCCAAACCAGATGGCTTTAGGGTGTTGAGTGTAGAGACACTCTTAGGGCTTAATAACTCAAGTTAGAAAGGCTACAAACTCAAACTGGTCATTATTTTCTTCCTCTTTTTTTATTTATTTATTTATTTTTTTTTATCAACTTAAAGAAATCATGCCAAAGGTATCCATCCAATAGGTTCATCAACTCAGATTAACTAGGTCAAGGTCAAGGTCAATCAAGTTGCATACCTCACAGTTAAGTTTTCGATGTGCATCTGTGCATTGTGAAGCATAAAAGAGTGTAAAATCCAGTGAGAATCCAATTGAGACATTTATACAGACTAATTTGAATCCACATGATCATTTTAAATTCAAATTTTTCTTTATTTTCAAAAATTCACAATTGCTTCTATATACAAGGTATTAAACAAATGCTTCATCTCCAACAAGTTTCAAATTATACTATCATTGCTTAGCAAAAATGTGGAACCAAAAATGCAATATTGCACCCCCAAACTTGAATTACACATTGTCCTCAATGTGGAATAGCAATTAAAAGCGATGACCAAAAATGACAGAGAATAAGAGGAATAAAAATACCCAGTAGGAGGAAAGTGCATGGTGAGGTGAGGAAAACTCCCAAGCAAAATCTAACAAAGAGAGGCCCCCAAACGTGAAATGTGCCACCTGAAATGGGACACAAAGAAAAGGCAGAAACAACTACAAAAATATTAATGATCACTAAAACATGGAAGGAAAAATGCTGAACAGAAAAGCTAGAGAATTTGCATTCAAAATGAAGTGGACATGATTACGAAAGGAACTAAAAGTCAATCATGTCTAACTAGAGCAACTCGTGCATAGTACAGTCCTAAAGTCTAAAAGTAAAACAAAACAGAAAGGAGAAATATACACATGTGAAACAAAAAGATAAAGTCCAACACGGGCAACAACTACGGGGCCGGGGGAAAACGGGCGAAGATGGAATTGAGGAGAGATTGAGTCTTACGCCGTTCCTCCTGCGCCATGCGACGGTCCTCCGCCGCAACACGTCGGTCGTCTGCAGCAAGACGACAGTCTTCTTCTGCACGGTAGTAGTCCTCACGCACGGTCCGAGTGTAATCTGCCAAAGAAATCTCAAAACGATCCATCTGCTCATGAATACCGGCAAAGCTAACCCGGATGAAGGCCTCATCCGGCAGAAGATCAACTGGAGGCTCGTCCCATTCAGCGTCCTCCGCCATGGGATCATCCTCAGAAAAAGGAGGAGATGGAGAGCGGGGAAATGGAGGGGCAGCGAGCTGAGGGTGCCGAGAATGGCTAAGAACATCGGTCCACCGGTGGAGAGTAAAAGTCTGAATCTTTTTGCCTTTTGGTTCATGAGGAGGAACAATGAAGCCTTTGTGCTTCAAGAGCTTGATAATGAAGAATGGCAATGGCAAAGGCTGATTTTTAACACGCTGCTGCTGTGCATTGATACACTCGTCCCAGAACCGCATAAATGTGTTCCAAATGAGCTCCGGGACAGAGAACCATTTGCCTTGGTCCATGGCATACAAGGCTTGCAACATCAGGCCTCGGCGCTCAGTGCTGTGCTCCAAGGGGTAAACATTGTGCTTGAGAACGGAGTCAAGGAACCAAACTCGCTCTGGAAGAGTGGATTTGAGGGTAAAGCTCTGGGGTCAATGAGGGTCATCCACGTTGCAAATGGCAGCAACAACCTGCTCCACAATTAAAGTATCCAGCTCCTCATATAAAGGGAGATTCTCACGATTGACAATGTTATTGGGGCACTCCAGAGGACAGCCGGAGACCGCCACCATGTCAGCAAGAGTGAAGGAAAAAGGGACGCCATCAATGGATGTGGTGAGAGAGACAGGCGGCTTTTCAGGGCAATTGAGATTTTGGTAGAAGAGTCACACCACACGAGGGTA